TGAAACTAAATTCAAATGGACATTCATTGCACCTGTCATACTCATCATTCTGGTGAACTTATTACTGCATGCATAACATTTTTATAACATAATTCAATTAGATTAATATGGGCTTTTTTATCATGGCTATTGCAATAATGAGAAGACACAGAAAGAATCAACCAAAAAATAGTCAATACAGTAATATAAAGTATTTACTGATTCTCTAGTATATTATATTAATTCATTGTTTGCAGATATTGGTTGAAATCATCATTATCACTGACTGTTGTGATGGGCATAGCATGGCTTGGTAATGTCCTCTTCTTCACGAAAGAGCTTCTCTTCATTGCATACATCATGACAGTCTTCATTGCTGCTCAAGGAATTATTATATTCATACTTTATGTTCCACTTTCTTCTCATGTAAGGATCATTCGATTAATCCATTAATTCATTCATGGTACATCAGGTAAGAGCTGCATACTTGAAGTCTTGGAATGACAAGAGAGCTAATACTGGCTATTTCAGTGCAATGCTTTTTAAAAGGGCATCAATTGCTTCAACTTGCACTTGCAGTATTAAGAATATATCACAATCAGTGGGTTATATGTATCTGCTGTCAAGTGTATTTATTCCTGTAATGATTGCAATAGGCTACCAGTAAAAGCAGTGAAACTCAAACCAGTAGTGTTTTTGTGGGTACCAGGCTTTCTGTAGGCCCTCCTAATGACCCAAGTGAGTTCAATCTTTTCTTAGTAATATGATCATCGAGTCTTTCTGCCATAGATAAGATATTAGAGCAAGAGTTGGACAATATGGTCATTCCTCCTTTACCTAGTGATTACATCACTAGTGAGATTGACAGGTCTTTTGTTTTTGTAAACAAGGCAAGCATTGAGAAGGAAATATCAGATGAATGAATACTATGAATTTGATGTTTTAAAAAATTAAGCAGTGTTTGTCATGTGTCTTGTGATGTGAAAGTTTTAATTAGCAGCTAATGCTGCTAGCAACATTTTTGAACTAACTGACATGATAGTTATTCCTAAGGTTATTGTATATAATATAATGCAATCTCATCTGTGGTTCAAGACATATATGGCTAGCTATAGGGACCAGATAAACTAAAATTGTCATCCAGAAAACCTGTTTTTGAAGTTTTACGGTTTCAATATTATTATTTATAAAATCAATTGTGCTTCCACATATACCTATCATATTAAGGGATTTAATAATGTCGTTTTCACCTATTTTTGTTGTAGCTACACAAAAGAAAGAAATCTGGAAACCATGAAACCAAAATCCAAGTAATGATATGTTTGGGTTTTATAGTTTCAGGTTTCTGCCTTAGAGTCTATTGCATATGTACACAATGTACGTGTTTAGGTTTTTGGTTTTGTAATTTTCAGGTTTCTGCCTTAGAGTCTGTTGCATATGTACACATTAATGTACGACATTTGCAACAGACTATAAGGTAGAAACCTGAAAACTACAAAACCAAAAACGCAAACACATACATTGTGTACATATACAATGGACTCTAAGGCAGAAACCTGAAAACTACAAAACCAAAAACCTAAACATGTACATTGAGTACATATTATACAACAGACTATAAGGTAAAACCTGAAAACTACAAAACCAAAACCCAAACACGTACATTGTGTACATATGCAACAGACTCTAAGGTAGAACCTGAAAACTACAAAACCAAAAACCTAAATACGCACATGTACAATAGATTCCAAGGTGGAAACCTAAAACTAAAAACTAAAAACTAAAAAACGTATATACATTGAACAGTTAAAAGCCAAAAAACATAAATGTTGTAAACAAAACTACAAATAATTGTATACTAAGATGGTTTAAAATGAAACATCTTCATTTTGGTACAAAGTAGGACTTTGGTTGACTATTCTATATTACTGTGGATTTTCAGTCTTATGGTTTTGAATTAACAAAAGCAAAATGAAAAAATAGTTTGACATTTAAATTGCATTAGAAATGTAGAAATAATAATGCATAACTCTTAAAACAACAAAAACTGGTTTTACATCTCACAATTTCTTATTGAGTGGTCCCTATAACTTGCCATGTCTAGTTCAAGCTTGCTATGTTTTTGCTGAACTCTGTTTTCATTTTATGCCTCCATGTGATTATTTTTTCTGATTCTTCTTCTAAACAGTAAGTTAGAAGTGATTTATTTCTATTGCAATAAGAGTCTCTTTG